CCAAATTGATATTAATTAAGTGAAAAGAATGTATAAGACCAAAGACTGTAATTTAAATGCAGACAAGAGGTAAAAGTCAACAAGATCTGAGCTTAGAGCTGTGATTTAATGATGGATGAAGGCTAGGATTACTGATTTCCCCTCGGTTGCAACTCTGACCACGATTTGCTATACGATTGCTGTAGCAAAGTTTATCTAGTTAACCTAAAATTCTACATAATCATCTTCCGACAGATTTATGCTTGTAATTCCTTAAACTAAACCAACATATTCCTATGTGTTTTAGTTTACAAATCTGACGTTAACATCAATTTTAATGGGTTGTACGAGATAATAGTATATTCCTATACTATCTCTTACATTATCCAAGCTAGATCTAACTTAACCAACCTTTCCAGAATTAGCTTAAGTTTGTGTTTTCTTACTAAATGATGGCCTGTCACTTAATAGAAAGTAAACAATAAATATGCTTGAATAAACCAGATGAAAATTACATTATCAATCAAAATAGCAAATAGATCTTCATTGCAACTTTGGTTCCATCAATAATCCTAGCTAAGGAATTTAGCTCATGTTTAGTTCAACAAAATCAGAATTAATAACAAATAACAGATCCATAAGGTCTCGGAAAGTAAATACAGAGAGAAGGAGAAAACAGCTAAGATAGAATCTGAGGTCAAAAACCCCTGTATATCCGTGCTGTACTCTTCTTTTCTCCAGCTCCAGCGTCCAAAATCCCCTGTACTCTCTTCTGTCTCTGTTTCCAGCTCGTCCAGGAATTCTGTGCGCCTCCCCTAATTTCTCTCCTCTTTTCTGGCTGGTTGTACTATACTCTTCTTTTCCTTTATATACTAGTGCATGTTGAGGTGCCCTAGTGACAAGTGTATGCATGAGAGTCATGATTGATGGTCCCCCCTCCTGGTGCTCTTACAGCTGTCCCGTCAGTGCTTGGACCACTACCAGCGCTAAAAGACAAACTGCGCCAACTTGCTAATTTTTTGCTGCTCCTGCTTTTTGCTGCGACTTTGCTGTAGCAATGCTATGGCATTGGGGGCATTTCAACATTTGTGTTTTCCACCGTGCTTTTCTCACCAAAAGCCTACGTCAGCACCTCCTGTGGACATCACGCACTAAGTTCCCAGGGTCAATGCAATGAGTTGAATTGAGGAATAACTTCAAAATATAGCAAGATTTCCCATAAATAACAACTTTCTGCCACACGGAAAAAGATTAATAAATGCTATTCAAAATACTAACACAAAGGCATTTTACCCGGAGAATATAAACAAATATTAAGCCTAAAAGTATGCTAAATAACTCTATTTCTATGAGTTATCAACAGTCATAATAAAACAAAACAAATGAAATTAAAATAAAGGGCAATATAGTAACTGAACATTAAAAAGGACATAACGGGAATAAAAAATTCATCAAAAGAAAAAAGCAAGGCTAAAACGGGAAAGACACTGTTCATTGCACTGTAGCATAAATAGTGAATATCGTCCTTTCTTTTAGTATATGTATAATGGGCAAGGCAAACATTTCTGTTGCATTTTGTGAAAACATGCTGAACAGGCGGATCAATCATGGAACATGTAGATAAGAGAAAATCAAGAGAAAACGAATCTACTTTGATGTAATTTTAACTTTGATTTATCATTTAGAAATGAGCACTATCGGCCGTATAAATCTCTTATTTAACCATGGATTATTATGCATGCTAAAATATAAAGAAAACGAATCTTATGCATTTTCCTTTTTCTTTGCAAAAATGAGATGTTTCCAAACTATGCGAATCATATTCGTAAATAGTAAACATATATCAAACAAACACTATTTAGATAACATTTTCTGAAACAACTATTTCGAGAATATGAAAAACATTTTTCAATTTTGAGCTAGCTTGAGATGAACTAATGTTTTCTTTTCTCAAATCAGCATTCATAAACCAATTTTCCACTTCATCGATCCCCCTAAACGTATAAGGATTAAAACCATTTTATAGTTTTGAGAGATTTAAGATCATATATATACACGTTTGATTTCTAAATACTTTTACACATTAAATTGTTAAAAGACTATCATAAGATAACACTATTGACTCGAAAAACTAAGGTTTTCCTGTAATTAGTCTCAAAAACTCTTTTTTTTTTTTTTTTTTTTTTTTTGCCTCTGCAGGATCATCCTTCAATCCTAATCAAAACTCTAAAGATACGTATACGATGAAAAAATATTTTTGTCCTGACTACTCTTGTTTATTCAAATATATTTTATATTGCGAAAGTCCTAGCTCCTCAAGTCATGTGTATATGTCTAAATGGAATAAAAGAAATTTTCAAGCAAAAAAAAAAAAATAAATGGAATAAAAGAAAATCAGACTGTTGAAAGAGCCTGGGGCAAATATTAAAAAATAAATGTAATTTATTGTTGATGTGCGTTTGACATGTGAATCTAGAGCTTTTCTACATTTCTCTACTTGCAACTTTTTTTGTTGTGCTACTTCTCTTTTCATTTTGTTTTTTAATTTACATACGTAAAACAAGCATTTGCAAATTATTTTAGGGTGATATCTTTTCATTGATTAACAAACGCTCTTAGTGTAAAATCTTATTCTAGTTATAATATATTAATCACGCAAAGGTATCTTCTCATATAGTTGATAATTTATAATATTTTGAACACATACATTGGAATATCTTTAACAGATTAATATTCTTAGTGTTGGATTATATTCTAATCATATGCACGTCATCTACACGAATATATTATATGCATTTGCATATGGCTCATTAATATACACTGTCTTTCTTCTGTTTGGATCAACACAGCAACAGTACTAATTTGGCACCCTTTTTTTTTATATGTGCATTTTTTTCTACACGCCTCTCCAAGTCAATATCGATTTTACCACCTATACATTGACCAATATCTAGACTTATGTCTACACCAATATACTATATCTGAACCCTGCAGGTGCTTATAGTTCTTTTCACAACTTAAATTTTATTGAGTTATTTTTTATAAAAATTCAAATTTAATTTTTTTATTATAATATGTTTTTCTCACATACACAAATAAATTTTTAACATGAGTTGTGCTCTCCAACATAATTGATTTGATTGGTGACTACCTGGCATCACATGGATATATTGCATATTACCTTCTTTTTTTTTTCCTTTTGGGAGAAACAAAAGAACAGTTTTATTTTGGCATTCTCTCACTAGTTCACCTTTTTTTTAACATTGCAGGATCATCTTCGAAGTGTAATTGGGCCATAGGTAAGTACTGAGTACAACTGATCATTTGTTTTAGATTCTGTATCAAGAAATTTGCACGATAACTTTTTATGTTCTTCTAATAGTATATCCATGAAAATGTATTTCATATATTTATTTCATATTATATACTCTCTTTTTATGGTAATAAAGTAAAATGCTTACACAATATTTCGAATGTAGGCATTTCAGCAGTTCTATTCGGAATTGTAATCACTACAATTTTGATCATATACAGCTATAAGAGAAGAGGGTCCATATCCAGTAACTTGGTTTTTCTAAAGAAAGACGAGAGTGATGGATTTAATGTGGAGGCATTTATTGAGAATCATGGACCATTTGCCCCTAAGCGGTATACTTATGCAAATGCGAGGAAAATGACAAACTCATTTGCTGAAAAAGTTGGTAATGTAGGATTTGGTTCTATCTATAAAGGGAAACTGGCTGATGGCTCTCTCGTAGCAGTGAAAGTTCTATAAGAGTCCAAGAGTAACGGAGAAGAATTGATCAACGAAGTTGCTAGCATTGGTAGAACATCACATGTTAATATTGTGTCTCTTTTTTATTTTGGTACGAGAGGAATAAAAGAGCTTTAATTTATGAGTATATGGCCTAATGGATCATTGGATAAATTCATATTCAACCGTGAAGCAGCAAACAAGAACATTCGGTTGGAATGGAAGACATTGTATGAAATTGCACGTGGCATTGCGCGAGGACTAGAGTACTTGCACCGAGGTTGTACCACGAGAATTTTGCATTTTTGACATAAAAACCTCACGACATTCTCCTTGATAAGGACTTTTGTCCGAAAATATCTGATTTTGGCCTTTCCAAAATGTGCCGGAGGGAGGATAGTATTGTATCCATGTTGGGTGCTAGAGGCACTTTTGGATATGCCGCACCAGAAGTGTAGTGCAGAAACTTTGGAGGAGTATCTTATAAATGGGATGTCTACAGCTACGGAATGATGGTTCTTGAAATGGTGGGAGGAAGAAAGAATATCGACCTGGGAACCAGTAAGATATATTTTCCTGATTGGTTGCATGACCATGTAAATAATTGTGGGGAGAAGTTGGAAATCGGTGAAGAAATGACAAATCAAGAGGAGGAAATGGCAAGGAAGATGATATTGGTGAGCTTGTGGTGCATTCAAACGATCCCTTCTGATAGGCCATCAATGACTAAGGTGGTAGAGATCCCACCGAAGCCCACCTTGTCTTTCCCAACAGAATAGAATAGTTCAAGTCATGATGCATATGGTTTACAATCAAAGAGGAAAAGATATCCTAATGAAGAATCATCATCCAAACTATTTATCAAGTACTTATTGAATCAACTTTGTTGCCATCATCTTATTTGTACTATACGTTGTGATTATGGCTTTCTTCAATGCTGCAGTTAGACAATGCTTTCTGTGCTTTCTCAATTCGCATATGGATACTAGACTTGATATGATATGGTGCATGGTATGCGTGTTTGTAATATACAGGGTTAATTTTGATAATAATAGTCCTATATTCTCTTCTTGTCCTAATTTAATGGTAATAGGATGGTTCCTGGACACTAATTTACTTCATTTTATTTCGAAAAGTCCCTGCATTCTTTGAGTGACAGGTTTTGTTGTGGAGATTTCGATATAAATAAAGGTCACAGTCTGTGTCATCTTCTCGCTTAGACTCTTTGAGAAGCCCAAATAGTCTGAGCTCTCTCCTGTGCTCTCCAATGGCGACGGCGCTTTCTGCTTCATTTCGTGATCGGCTCGAACGCATGGAGCTCGACCGGAACAAGCGTCTCTCTCTTCTCCAGGTCCTAATTCCTCTCCCTCTCTCCATTCACGTTTGATCAATTGACCGAGAAAACAGACGACACTTTTAGGAAATTAAAAGGCTATATAGACATTCTTACGTGCATGTTTTCACAGTCAAGGATTTCAATTTCATCGCATTTTCCAGCGTTTTCTCGGTCGCTAAACAGGGAATAAAATATGGCTTTTGGTGAAATTTGATGACTATTAGGCGGAGAGAGAGCTGCAAGCGAGCAAGTCTCTGGTTCTGGCGTCTAAGCTTGCCGGAATCAGGGAGATGGAACGGCGATGCTCGATGCTCGATCAGAAGATCGCGTCGCAAAGTTTCAAGATCTCGCTTCTCAAGTCCGAGATAGACAACCTCAATGCCAAATACGATAGCCATTCGCTGCTGCTCAGGTGCGTTCAATTTCGCGCCTTTTTTAAAAAATAAAAATAAAAAAATATTTTTTTTGGGTCCGGATCGATCGCTTACTCGTTTCTCGAATTGAAACTTAAATCTGCTATTTCTAGGGCTTTGATGAGCGAAGTGGAGGATCTTCAAGAATTGGAGAAGGCAAAGGATGAGTTCTACGATTCCAAGGGCTCCGAAATGAAGGAATTCAAGCATAATGTGGAGAGATTTGTTTCGGAGTGTAGAGTGCGACTGAAAGAGCTGAAAAATGGACTCAATAAGGTGAAGTAATTGAAGGATTTTGTTAATAGTTTTGGCATTTTGAGATTACTCTTCTGATTGAGACTGGGTTTGATTCCACATATATTTCAGTTGCAATCGAGCTTTGTGAGATTTCAAGACAACAATGGGTATAGCAACTCCGAAATAGACACAGCAGAGATGATGAAATCCGGACTCTTGGCTGCGAAACAGGATTTGGATAAGAACTTGGCTTCCAATTACAGAATGAAAGCACATTTGCAGACGGAGCTTCAAAGCATTTTATCCGTGGATTAGAGACCCACTAATGGAAAATGCCAGTGAGGGGATGTACAAAATGTACAAATTGACATTTGCCATTTGGTAACAAATAAGTTCAGTTCTATTCTATCAAAAACAAAGAGTTGTGCATCACACAAATGACTCTGGTCGATTGATAATCTCAGTCCTTTTATTACGATTTTCGGCGTTACTATACAACACAAGTACACAACACCCTCCATTCAGAGCTACAAGCCTCCAACAAGAACCTCGAAAAATGTTTGAGAACAGAAAAACGTTGTTTAGTTAAAGCATGCCAAAGTTACAGGGGCAAGTCTCATGCACAATGCTGAGGGCGATAATGGTGAGATATTGTTCTCCCCTTTAGGAACCGAACAGGCGGAGGAAAGCAAAGTCGATAAGGAAAGTGCGGATTTCCATGGGGCCAAGTTCCACCACAAGTGTTTGAGGGTCAACAGGACCTCCCCTCACCACCTCTGACCTCTCGCCAGATCCTTCCACTTCCCAAACTAGCCTCCTCTTCTCCATCTCCGCTTTTTCTTGGTTGGCAGACAAACTCATCTCCCTCACTTTGTTGATCTGAAACCAATCCATGTAGACGTAAGCTAAAGATCATTGATTTTCTATACCAAAAAACTCAACTTTCATTCTAATGTCAAGGTCTACAACTCGAATCCCCACCTATAAATTTTAATAATAATAATAGTAATAATGAAAATAATAATCAGGTGGCTCTCATCTCTCACCTTTTTTGGAAACAGCCTCTTCAGCTCCACACTTGCCAATACGGAGTAATCCTTGTCCTCTCCCGTCTTCGCATACACAAATAACAATCAGTTCAGAATATGAAAGTAACTTGCTATAATAAGTGAATGAGAAAACCAAAGCTATTTATAAAAGTGCTACTCTTTTTGTGCTAACTTAGCAGGGTGAGAGAGAAATTAGAACCTCGTATAGATGGGCAAGTCGAAGGAGTACTATTCCATTTTCAAGCTCCTGCAGTTCAGAAAAGGGCCAAACTTGTGATCTTCCAAGAAAACTTAAACAACACTGTGAAAGAAAATAAATTTTCTTAAGGACACATACCTGGAGGGTTATCACGGCAACGTTGTTTGGTAAAGTGTATGAAGGATCAATTCCAGAAAATGTTGAGACATGAGAATTTATCCACTCATTTCCATCCTGTAAAAAGAAAAATGATCAACTAAGCATTGTGGCCAAACTGCAACTAATCAATTTAAAGGTTTTTCTGCACCTGTTCTGTGAAGGCCAAGAGCAGTGGAGAATATATCTCTTGGCCAGTTGTGCGGCGCCACTTGGCACCTTCCCCAAGAGGGTCAATTCTGAAGTAAAATTTTCCTTGTATCTGAAACAGAGAGAAAAAGTAGTCACTTAAACAAAAAAAATCTGAAACTAAGAAACCATATCCTTGAGAAGTGAGAGAGCACTATGAAGATTCGATAACGTCAACTTGTACGAGTACTAAATATTTTGTGCTATTAATCCCCTAAACAGGCTAAAGGTCTTCCATAGTGTTCCGATTACACTTGCAATACAGCTTGGTAAACTAGTGTATACTTACCGTTAAACCCTCGCATTTATCATGGAGACAAACTGTTTCATTCAATACCTCACCAACTCCTTTTTTGTCATCATGAAGTAACCGCCTATAGAACAAAAGAAGCTCATTTAGAAATCATGAGAGAAAGCAAAAAGGGAACTACAAAGCAGATAGTACTTATCCAAGCAAATAAAAAATAAGATAAAGTACTTATAGGAAAGAGAAACCTGTGGAGCATCAGCTCTATCTGACCATCGTTTAAGCTGGATCCCCCCACCGAACGATCAACCAAAACTGAAAGTTCTGAGCTAGTGTCTTGCACGTAAATTCCAAGATTAATCTGAAATAACGGAGTAAAGCAGAAGATCATGATGATGAGCAACAAAAGTAGGTATAGAAGTGTAAACAATAAAGAAATGGGCATAGAAAAATGAAATGAAGACGGGCAAGTTGACAAGCTATTCTAAAAGAACTCGGGACTGCTGAATAAGTATTTGCATTTCAATCGAGTGGTTCATTTTGAACAGAAAACTCATTAGATGGAATACGGATCGAAATCAGGATATATCAAGATCAAATGTTTCAATGTATCAAACAATGGAAGCATACAGGATAATAGTTTCCAGCAATCGGTTGATTGACTTGCAGTTCCCAGTCCGTTCTGAAATCTCGAAGCTGCAAAACAATTGAGTGTATCAGATTTGAATCAAGCCACAGAAATAAATTAACAATGGTGAGATTGGAATATTTCCTGCAAGGTTTCCATCGTTTATAACCAACTACAGGCTACAGCTAAATCGAGGAAAAAATGCTTGTTATTCATAGGATGAAGAAAATTCAAAGACCATCCAAATATTTCATTCTACGTCGATAAATACTGCAACTAAGTTACGATAATGCATAATGCAACTAAAATCTATATGTGATCCAAAATCTCAAACAATGGTAGATAGAAAGTATTGAAGTACCCGTTTAATGAAGTCACGTCCATTGGAATCTGTGTAAAATGTTCCATTGGTCTTCATGGCTGTTGTAATTTGAGTTGCGATTTCTTTGCCAATATCATCATCAACAGGTATAGGTCCAATCTAAAATGAGGATGATGTGCCACAAACAAGCCAAAAGGGAATAGTCAGTTACACACTAATCTCAATACGAATCTCTGTGTGCTCTTAATGAGCAAATCTGCCGAAGTTAACTTACAGTAAACTCAACTTCAGCATGATCCTTTTCCTTAAATACCCTCGTAATCTGCACACACATGCCGTATCATGTTACTGAAATTAGAAGTAATAACGTCCCTAGATGGAAACAAATATCAGTAGAACGTTTTATCCAATTGATTACCCTGAATAAGATTGAAGAAAAAATTACCACTAAAACACGACTTTTTTTTTTTTTTTTTTTTTTTGTGGAATCTAAAGCACCAAAACCACCTGAGATATCCATGGGTTAATCCGTTTGTGTACTTCATCCACTAGTGGACCCCGAATCACAGTTAGAGGAACCTGGGTACATGTATATGTTATCTTTTCAGAAACTCAATTCCGTAGATGTAAATATTTACAAAAAAAAAAAAAAAAAGGCAGATGTAATAAAAAAGAACAGTTTCAAATAATATTTTAGTTACCTGACTTTCAGATTTTATAGGAAATGTTTCATTTGGACGGAAGATATATGCCCCAGAAGCCTTCAATGCAGATAATCAAAATTAGAATCATAATCAACTTAAACAACTCGAAACAACAAGGTCCAAACTGAGAATTAACAGGATATGGTGGATTTTTTTGCATATTAATCGGCTGACCACCTGAGGATCTTCATCAGTTCCATCACTTCCAGTGTAATAACTGTATGACTGTTCTACAGATGCTGTGACCTTCAAGAATGTAAATGCAGTGTAAGGAAGTACACATGCAAATATAACATAAGAAGCATATACCACATATAATGCATGTGCTAGCTTTCATTTCAGACTGAATGTTGGAACTAAAAACAAAAAGATAAACCATATAAAAAGAGCAAAAGCGTGCTGGGAAATTGAACCGTCAATAGTATAACATACCAGATTTTTCCTATTAGCATAATGTGTAAGCTTTCCCTCGCGAGCAGAAAAAATGAGCTTTAAACTTCCTTTCCCGACTTCTATGGTATCGTCTGCACTTTCCTCCAACGTGTAGATGGATGAAATGGTTGAACTAGGACCTTTATTTAAATCAAAATAAAAAAATAATTAAACTTCGTATAGTTAAGTTGGAAAGGAAGTGCTAATATTTATCGCAATATATACTATCACAAAATGGCTAACCTGTCTGTTTCACAGTTGAGATGATGTAACTGCTAAAACCAATTGGTGGTACTGACACTGAAAATGCAAGCCAATACTTAATTGTTTCACTTGGAGATTTACCCAAATATGCTCTAGCGTAGTAATTTCTAATGCTCAAAGTGGCATTTGTTATAGGAAGGAGCTGAGCTTCTACTTTTCTTCCACTAGAATCCCGAACAGTAACCCTGTCAGTGGATACCTACAAATTTGAATCTACATAAGCCTTGTGTGTACATTTAAAACAAAATGAATCCAACCTTAATAGTCTTCTTTAATTCAATGATGCTTAATTCTTTTTACTCCCAAGAGAGGGTCAGACAGGTTGACTGCTGTGTCTCCAAACGCCCAACTCCAACATATTAACTTTTTGGTAGAAATTCTCTCAAAACAGAAGGTACAGTAACCAAACATATGATAATCAACTTACAAAGAATAAGCAAGGGAACGGCTTACAGGGATTCGTATTACTTCCTCTCTCTTCCATCCTAGAGGATTGTATGCAACAACAACCTGAAAAGGAAAACACATGAATATAAGATGACAAGAAAAAGCAGGTTGTCTGATCCTCAATTGAGTTGGCTTATACGGATAGATAAAATAATACGCTTACCAAGCTTTTCCCATCAGACAAGACAGCTTCTGATGGAGGACAATAACTTATATTAAGTAGTGGACACTGCCAACAAAATCCACATAATACAATTCAATAGACATAAACTCGGTTACGAAGAAAGTAATCTGCAAAAGGGTGCTCAGGATTGAAGTTCAATCTCCAATACAAAGTAGGCACATTATACTCTTTTTAGCCCAAACCAATTGTTTTAAATGAAATTCTACAAAAGGAAAGCATTCCTACTAAATTATTACATCACAGGCATTAAGCTTTACATCATCCAAGAAGCATTTTCAGCAGCACTTCATTGTTCTCGCCATCATTACTTTTTTTTAATGATCCTTTCACGAACATGAGTTCCCATGTTAATTTCTGGTTTGAAGAAATGACATGAAGATTCATGCTTATCTTTTGATCGACTAAATATTCTACACAGCAGAAATAAGTAACAATCTTAACTATTTTGAGATTGGTTCTTACATTGAAAAACAACCTATTAGTAAATGATAATATAAGCTGATTTGAGACAGTTCAAATACAAAGGTCAGAACGAAAATGGTGGGGAAACTAGTAACAACTTGCCTGCTGAAAGTTTGCAACTCCAGAACTTGAACCTGATTTTTTTGTCAGGTAAGCTAGAGAAGAAGCTACCAACTTCTCAGCCTACAGCGAGATGTATAGAGAAAAAAAGAATTTTATTTTACCTTTCATATGTAATCAATAACAAAACCTAAGACTATGGAAGTGAGATGGACCTCCTGATATCCTATTGAAATTCGCAATGCATAGTCGGCAGCAACATGCTCTCTTTCTGTACCACTAACTGCATCATGATGTTGAACGATTGCCAAAGCATCAGCAAGTGCATCAGTGTTTGGACCTGAGGCATTTCTGCCTATAAAAAATTCCAACTGCCTTGCTGCCTAAACGGAATCAGAAAATCAGGACAATTAAAAAGACACCGTGGGATCCTACCACTGCGGAGTTAACTTTGTCAAGAAATAAAGATATCAAAATATACCAGATAGTAAGCACTCATGACTCTGACATAGCCTTTAAGTGCTGGACGACTTGTAAAGTACCCTGTCCAATATGTATTTATTTTATCTGCATGCCTAAAAAATTTGACATCTTATTTTTTCAGAAGCAATTCTCGGAAAAATACACCAAAAAAAAGGGCTGGAGCAAAATTTGGACACCAAACTCACGGGAAAAAATCATCAGTTTTGAGAGGCCATTTCTGATCGGTTGCGTGTTTTGCATCAGTGTAGAGAGATGGTGTCGAATATAGTGCATTCACGCGCCCATCCTAAGATTGGCAAATTAATACAATTTAAGGATTTCCAATTTCATTGAGAGGACTAAAAGTAGTACAGAATGGAAACACAAATTGGAGACTTATTAATTAATTATTAATAAAGATAAAAAAAATATTTCAACTAATCATTTATGCTGGGCCTACAGGAGGAGCACCTGATTGACGTAGTGAATGAACTTGTCCATCTGCCTGAACCACGAATTTGCATATTGATAACGAAAATCCGTCCCCATGCACCACATAATGTGGTTGGTTCTTGTCACATTAGCCTAAACGAAAAGAATATGTTAAATAACTGCAATCAACCATTGTGTTAAATGAAAAGGCTTTAACGGAGGGATGAGAATTACTTTTCTTTGTGCATTCTAAAAGAACTTTCAAGTTCAATCACCAATTGAAGATAGTAGAAAATGACTAAACAAAAAGTTCTCAGATCAATCATAATCTACAAAATGAACATGCATAACAATTTTTAACATTTAGTTTAATGCGTTCATATGTCACTGTCACACACTTGCGCTACGGCTAACTAGTTTCTATCATTAGCACTTGGACTTGTGAGCGAGCTACAAATACTTTAAATGAATAAATGCAAAGGACTGCTTTACAAATAATGATCAGGATTACCCACAAAAATGAAGTCCATAACAATCGCATAGAGACTCAGTTATGATGGATTCGTGAAGGCTTATCATTTAAGCTTAAAACGAAGGTCTAGAGTAGGAATATGGAATCTGATTAATTAGATCCTACCTGCGCTAAAGCAGCAGCAACAAAGTCATTAACTCGTTCTTGAACATTGTAGTCAAAAAGAAGAATGTCATCCTACAACAAACAAACCACATTACAAAGGAGTTCTAAAGCCAAACTGTCAGGCATTTGTCTGTGTACTTTATAAGATTTACCTGAATAGGTGGTGAAGCGTCATTTATTTCAAATGTAAAACCATCAGGAGGATCATAATGCCTAGGGAATATCCCAGTGAAAATCTGAAAATACGTTTAGATCAATGAATTCAGTGATTATCATCCACGCAACTGCTGGAATAATACTCAATGAAAAAACAATCCGCACAAGTGCTTTTTTTTTTTCCTTTTTTTAAGAAGAAAAAATAAAACTGCAGACCTGTTCGCTGTTGTTTTTTCTCATGTTTTTAGTCAATAAAAGGAATAGTTTTCAAACAATGTTTGGAACCATTTTTTCAAAAAACATTAATGAGATATAATTAGTATTTTTTTTTATTAACGAGCAATAATCATGTTAAGAGTATAATTTGTAGAGTCTTAATTAAACTTTGATACAAGTATCAAGGTATCCATACCAAACATGCCCTCGATCTACAAATCAAAAGTGTGCTTAAACCCAAACCTGTGAAGACCAACTGAGGGATCTAGACCCCTGCCATACAACCTCAAGAGTCTTCTCTTTGAGCCGCTTGGCTCTATCTTGGTAATCAATTCGAGCGAAAAAGAGGGAATCAAATCCTAACTGCAACCAATATAGAGAGAACGAGTTGTCAAAATCTCATAAGCCAAGAAGAAGACGTGATCAAACTTCAAAAACGCTAGACATAACATCTTCGATACTATTGTATTCTAGAGTTTCAATACTACTAAAATGATAAATTTTCATAAAAGTAGTCACAACTTGAAATGTGCTCTAATAGTTTTACCTCTGCACCAAGAAGGTAAGCTTGAACTGCAGAATGCCCAAAAGGATCAATCTGCCAACCCACTCGTGGAATCTGACCGAATTCGTTCTTGATAAATTGATGCCCCAAGGTCGTCTGATCAATCAAGTCAACGTAATGTGGGGTTGCCTCGTCATGCATGGACATGCCCCCATTTCTTCAAAAATCACATCAGAATGAGAAAGACAAAGTTTAAAACTTTTTTTCTCACTAGTGCAAAAACACTCGAGCAACTTCCATGTTTGAATAAGAACAATAATAAAGAACCAAAAGTAGTAAAACAGTACATGAATTCGAGTTGACCAGAGTTGACCAGCTCCTTGACCTTAGCCTTCAGAGCCTTGCTTTGCTGCCTCCACCATCTCTGGAAGAATGCCTTTCGAAATTCCAAGAAATCAACCACATGCGTGTCAGTAAAAGGAATTGTCACACAACAAAGGGGGAAAAAACTATTAAAGTTAAAAAGGGAAAAAAAAAAAAAACAATGATCCCACTCTATTATCTTACAATGTTAATTTAGTGCCGCATTTGATTGTATCGCCAACATTTTTTTTCCCCATTTTTGGGGGGGTGTAAATCATAAATGGCATTTTCTACTTCAAAACAAAAACGACATAAGAAAAACAAAGCAAAGAAAGATGAATATAGAAGTAGTACAATCTCGACATAGATGAACTTGCGGTTCTTGTCTTCCAACAAGGCCGAAATGACAGAATCCAGCACATTCTGGACGCAAGCCCCCTGCAATTACAAAAACCAAATTCAAAATTCCATCCATAAAATAAATAATCAAAGGGATAATAATTAACAAAAAAAGAAAGAAAGAAAGAGGAAGAAGAAGAAGAAGAAAATACGAGCTTACCCGAATGGAGTTGTTGGCACCAACATAGTACTGATCGACGGTCTTGAGCCAACCAACATCGTCGTGAGAGTGAGGGACCAAATGCACATTGATCTTCCCCGGAACGATTCTGTGAGTTGTGTTGTACTCTATGTACTCCGATTCACCTCCTCCTATTAAAACCCCCAACAACAACAACGACATAAACATTAACAACATCGGACACTCCGTTCTCGTACCCATCATCTGCATTCAGCATTCAGGAACTGGAAAAACTGGAACTTGTTTACGGTAGTTGTGACTCAATATGAGTGGATCATGTTCGGATTTTCTTAATTATTATTATATCTAGCTTCAACACAAAGCCACTCTCTCTGATTCTTTCTTCTCTAATCAACACTCTCAATACTCAAGACAAGCGTGCAACTGCACACTTATGACTTGTGACTCCACCTTCTCTCTCTCTTTTTTCTTTCTTTCTTTTTTTTTTTTTTTTTTTTTTTTTTTTTTTTTTTTTTTGTCTTTCTTGTTAAGCATATAATAAGCTGATATTAAATTGATATTTAAAGGCTTTAAGATGTTTTTTTTTATGCTGTTATTTAATTGTTGTTGATGACTTCAAAAGGGAAAAAAAATGACAATAATAATGGTAATTGATGATTGATTTCATAATCTTATCTAAATGAATAGTTTATTGAATTAGGCACCAAGGTCAGTGCCTTTTTTTTCCTTCTAAAAAATATATACTGTCGGCCCTTTCATTCTTTGGGTTATTTCCAAAATTAACAGAAAGACGACTTAATTCTAGTTAAATGGTTAACGAGATTTTCACTTCACTACTATAAGTAAAACTCAATGCTACAAAGTATCAAATCAATGGCAATTTCTGCAAAGAAAAAAACATCCTTATTTGATGCACTACTAGTAGTGATGTGCAACACCTCACGTACAAATATTAACGTAAAAGTCATATAAAAATGTGATAATTAAACTATTATGTTATTTTTCTGATAATCAGTGATAAATTAGTTACGTGGGCCAAGTTCAGCTCGGCCTTTTTATGGGCTTTCATTGTAGTAGCCCATGGTTACGTACATGGATCAAATATTTTGGTGGGCTCCGTTATGGGCTGCTTATTAGGTACAACTTCTTCCAATTCTAATCTATCTCATCTCAACTAACCTAAAGGCCAATAGTCAATAGAAGAGGGAAGCATTGTCGTCCAATTTCGAAGATACGTTACAAAATAAATTACATACCCGCCATCAGAACAAAAGCCACCATCTTCTCCAAAATCCTCGACTTTAAAAACCCTAAATTTCGTCTCAAAACCCTAATTTATCGCTTTTTTCTCTCTCCAATTCTCTCTTCGAGTTCGAACCATGGAAGACTCCTTCAAAGTTCGCGTCGACAAGATATTCGGCTCTCTAAATTCCTCATCTTCTTCGTCGTCTTCAGCTCCGCATTCGTCGTCTCTGAGCTCGCTTTGGTGCCTAACCGACGGCGAAATCGAGAGGATTGAATGGAACCGGGACAAGGGAAGTCCAGAACCGGAATCGAGCTCACAAGCTTCGGTTTTCGAGAACCGTCGAGACGAGTCGGTTAGGAAATCGAATCGTGATTACGGAAGTGAACTGGAGAAGGACCCAGAAGACCTTGATGAAGACGACGAAAACGACGACGACGACGATGAGTCACAGGGATGTCGTTCGTCGAGAAGGTCTGGGAAGCCGGAGGATTATAACGACGAGGAGTGGGAGGTGAAATCTTCGATTGGCTTGGATTGTACTCTCGATTACGAGGTGAGCTTTTTTTTTCTTTTTTTTCTATCTGCGTTTTTGTTTATTTTTTATTATTTTCGCAATCTGATCCTAAGATTTACAAAAATAGTATCAATTAAGTTCAATTCAATCAATTACGGAGGGTAAATCTTCAATTCAGTTTTGTAGCACTAGTGTTTACTCAACTTATCTTGTTTGATGCTTTTGTCTATGGATTTCTTCTCCTTTTTTTTGGCAGTTTGGTCTTTAGATGAATCTTAGAACTGTCTCAAATTTGACTCCATTTAATCATGAGTTAATTGCTTTGGTTTTTTTTTCAAAAAAAAAAAAAAATAGGCACTATAGTTGTCAAAAAAAAAAAGGGGGAATTAGAAGTATCAAATCATGAAAATTCTAAGGATGGAAGTGTTATGAACTCTTTTATTTTTATAAAATGCAGGAAGAGGAGGATGAGTATGACAAAGTGGCAATCGGCAAGGAAAAGCCAGGGGATCGCGTGTACATGAGAGATATAGAAGACTACGGGATTGACATAGACTCTGGAGGCGAGCTTCCAATTTCGTTCAAGGAAGTGATTAGGGACCCGCGGGCGAATCACGTAGCTGCCAAAATCAGGCTCAAAGAGGATGCAGAAGCTGCTAAAAAGATTGATTCTTTGCAGGTTTCTGATGAAGACACGTCATTGTCAACTATGAATACTGAAACCACCGTCTCAGAGGACGGACCTTCCAACCCGAAATCAATTCTCAAGAGAAAGGATAGCCAGTTGGACCCTAGGTCACATAAGCGTGTGCGTTTTGATCCCGAATGTAAAGATAATGGTGATACAGAACCCGACCATAAGGCACTAAAAGAAAGCTCTTTGGGGGAAGGGGTTGACGTTGAAAATCATGCTTCCGGAATACCAGATTATTTGCGAAACCCTTCAAGATATACATGTTACACATTCGACTCTTCAAGTGACATGGATGAGGAATCGAACAAGCAAGCATACATGGACTTTCTCAAGGTTTTGAATAAGTCGAATGCTAGTGTAGAATTGCTGTCAAAGAATGAGGACGCTCTTTTTGACCCTCCGAGGTCGGTCACTTTCATACCAAGAAAGAAAGGGGGTGATACTAGTGCGATGGTAGATAGGTGTACAGAATTAGTGCAACAAGTTGGTATTGGGAAGGATATCGGGGTCCACATAGGTAGGCCAATAGGCATTGAGGTTGCGGATGCCGATGAGAGTGATGCTTGTGCAATGGAAGAAGATGAACTGGAAACTGTGGAATTCAAGAAGAGCGTTTAAGAGCGTCTCACAGAAACCAGGGCGCCAATACCGCTTAAAAGCACGGTCAGAGTTGGACGAGTGAATTGCTGGCCACCTCCATTTCTTGAAAGCTATGGTAGTTTACTTGTTACATATAGGTATAGCATGCAGCAAGTTTTCCCTTTTTATATAATCCAGGATCAAACCTGCATCCTGTCAAATCCAAGTATCACCCTACCCTACCCAACATCGGTGGACCTAGTGATCATTGGCTCGAGCTTGTGACTTTTAACTGATAATTTTCTGTGCTCGACACATGGGGAAAAAAAATAATGAGTTTGTGACTGACAGAACTGTGTTCTTTTTTTTTTTTCCATATAACAAATGTTAAACTGGTTATTAGCTTCAGAGCCTTTTTTTTTTTTTTCTAAATCAGAAAGGTATTTCCTAAACGCCAAAGCTCTGTGTTTGTTACTTATAATGATGGATGTGTTTATGTGAAATGCGCTCGTTGAAGACTATTCCCTTCATTTATAGGAATAAGTCGTACTCTCAAGTCTTGAATCTACATCACATGCACCTGACATTGACAAGCTTTCAAGGTATATTTGACGTATCCTCAGTTTACATTTGATCTATATGATATTTTGCCCGTTTTGTTTTGGTTTTTTTTTTTTTCATTTGATGTAATTTTAAATAGGTCAAACGTGCGGAAATATACACTACCAGTGGATACCCTTGCCATGAAAAGCTCCTAAAGGAGAGAATGAGAGATTATCTCCTTTCCTAAGTTGCCAACAAACAATTTTCGATATGTTCATGTTTTGTCTATCGTACCATTGACATTTGACTAGAATTCAAGCAGCAAAAACTACATTCAGAAAACTCAACTGTACCTGAAATGTAAGATTATATATACAAGTACTTTAAAAGGACCAAAATCAGGCATCTCTCGCCTCTAGGAACTATATCGAAACACATTTCTGTATCATTTTTCTTCCTATTTCATTCATCATAATCAGTGAATTTGACCTGTGGTCTTTTCTGTACCAAAACATGAGAAACCCCTTAAGAGAGGGAAATAATAGATCAGTTGATCATAATACAAAAAAGCAATTCAATGATCAACATGAGTAACCCAGTGAAGCAGCCAAAAACTTGGAAGAAAGTTGCACTGTCATCCATCCCAACAAAGCTAGTTAGTACAACCGTTTCTTGCAGTCTGTAGCGCCACAATAACAAGGCATTTGTTTTACCTTGCCATCCGGGCCAAACACACTATCAAGTGCGTACCCGTAATCATATGTGAGCTCCTGTTGTACATCAAGAAAAACATTTAGGTTGTATTTTGTAAGAGGAAAAGAAAATAGGAACGAGGGAGAGGCATGTAACTAGGTAAAGAAAACGAGAAGTACGGAGAGGACCTTTCTCTCATTGTGTTTAGTAATTAGGACTATTCATCCGCCGGGTTTGGCCACAATGAACCAAAAGTTGAGACCAATCAAGCCGCTTGGCCAGAAATCCAAACATGAAATGGCTCAGCTCGACTCGACTTGTTTGGTTGGGCCTTATGATTTGTTGAACATTCTCTAAAAATTAGTAAATATAACAATAGAACTCGAATTCTTCTCCATCAACCTTCACAGAAGCAAGCAGCAAAAGATCCTTTTCGACTTTTGAGCTTCAAGAAAGGTTGAAGGTGGATGAAGGCAGAGTAGGCCAAAAGAGTCTCAAAGAGGGGAAAGAGGAGATGTGAACAGTGCTCGAGGAAGATTATGAGAAAGGTTAAAGGTTAAAACGAGAGAGGAGGTTGTACAGAAAGAATGTGAGTGAGGCAGTGGAAAGAGAAGAAAAGAGTAGGGATGTATTTGTTAGGCCGCCTTGTATACTTAAAAAGTTGGGAGGGAAATAAAGAACACAATATTTTTACTATCAGTCAACTTGTGGGGTCAGGTTCGAGTACCTCGGATTCTCAATTTTCCTACCCGCATGCCAACACGGCAACCTCAGCATAAATATTTCAAAAGCTGAGAAACGTCACCAAAAAAAACAAACAAACAAACAAACAAAAACAAAAACAAAAAACAAAAACAAAAACAAACAAACGAACACACAAACCACTTCATGTACACCCCACCTCTTCCAATCCTTCCAGTTTTGAAGAATCAAACTTGGAATCCTGTGAAGGGTTTTTAATCTCTCACTTAATCTATTTCCTCCTCTAATCCCACCTACCAAACAACCATAAGTCTTAGAAATCCATCTACTAATCCTCCAACCCCATTCCTCCTTCCACTTTCCTCCCCTAATAAACAAGGCCTCAATCGCAAGATCTTTTTTCTTATTTCAGTTTCAAGTGCTAAAAGTAATGAAAGCAAGTCTAAATAAAACATGGAAAGTCCATGCTCGAGTGAATCACCTGCAAAGGAGGTATGTTGTCCGCAGCAAATAGCATTACTCTTGCAAGCTTTACATCATGGTGTGAGCTCAAAACACATTGGACAAACAGATTGGGACCGCAGCTGTGATTAATAAATCTAGCTATATTTCCGCTTGAACCAGCATCGATGCAAAACTCCGGTACACTTTCAGATCTATCTCCATGCTTGTCCAATGAATTAACAGCTGCTATGGATGCATCACGCGACCGTCGCTGTTAAAAATTGGACCAAAAGAAGTGAACGTTCAAAACAGACTATTATGTGAAGTGGAAGACATGGGTGTTTATTAAGCACAAAGAGTCGATCGCAGATATGAACTGAATGGATAAGGACTTTAATAATAATAAAGCAATATCATTAGTTGAAGGTGGAACAGAACTAGAGCACTAGAAGACTACTGAGAAACCATTTTGACGCTTATATTTACTATATCTAGAGCAGAAGCAGCACTTTTCAGATGTATTCTAAAATCATGAAAAAAGAAAAAGAAAAAAAAAACTAATAATGTAATTTGTCAAGAGCGAATAGCCCCGCCATCAAAAACAATTGCAAAAGATATAAATTTTGCAATATAAATACGCATTGAAAGATTATACTGGGGTCACAGGACCAATACCTCTCTTCCACCTACACCGTTCATTGTCTGCAAGCAATCGATGTCAAAAATATAATCATTCCCCGAGACACTATCTACATCTTCTTGCCTCCTTAGAATTCCCGTGTACTCACATATTGGTGCGCCGGAAGGTATAAAATCCCAAGATCTAACAGCCCAGCCTTTCTTAGGAGTGCGGAAAACCTGCTCACAAATCACAAGACATGTTTAGTTTCAGACAACCCCATTTTGACAATCAGATACTAATAATGACATTTAACGCAACTTGCAATATAAGCACGACCTCAAATCGGTACTTGAATCCTCTCTGAGAGGTACGGTTGACACAACCAGGTCCACAGCCACATCCCGGGCCACATTCAAAAACCACATCCTTGGCTTCAATTAATCTGGGGACGCACAAAACAGGAACACCTAATAAGAAGATAGAAATAAACCAGATCAGCCAATCAATCAAATATGCTACCCACCTGCCTCCATCACGATGCACGTATGGGAAGTCCCCGCCATTAAGCTTAGCACAGGAGCAAGTCTTGGGATCTCCACAGGTTCCTATACAATTGCAACCTGCAGTGTTCTTGGGAAGCTTCACACCTTTTGATACTTGAATAGACTTGTGATATGTGAAACCTGAAAGTTACCAAAACCAACATAAAATGTAACTTGACTATCGGTAAAGGTCATACTCAGTTAAAATAATGAAAAAGATATTTGCAAATGAGGTCGAAAAAATAAAAGTTAAAACAAAAGGTGACAAAATTCCAGAACTACAAATACCAAGACTGTATGTTGTGCATTAATATAAAAACACTGATGATCGGATATTAATGAAAAATAAGAAATTTTTATCAATAAATATTGGAGAATGAAGCATGGGAAGCAAACAACCAGATATGCTTCCATTCAATAGCATACTAAATTTAATAATACAACTTGCCTGTGGGTGCAACAGGTGGATCATCAACCAAATTTGTAGCTGGAATAGGAATATTTTCTTGACCACCAGTAATGTCCTCACATACCAACCTTAGAAATACGATAGAATTTAATCAATGTATAACCCAATATCAAATGTTTGTTAGTGTTCTACTATTTGATGGTTCAAACATCACATACCCTCGTATTTCTGAGATCGACTGTGGAACACGCCCATAGCTAAATTGGACCTGCCATGGAAGTAAACCTTATCAACTGAAAATGAAAAAAAGAACTCTTCACGGCAACCTCAGCGTACCACTGAACCCACTTGAGCCACTGCTGCATCCAACCCCGGAACAGCGTGTACTCAAGGAATTCAGCTTCATCCTCAGATAGTGTTATGCCATCAGAGGGGTTATCCCCGATAGGAGGTAACCGTAACTCCTTAGGCTGTACAACAACTCCGCTATTCTCCCTTTCAAGTAGGGGTTCAACGGTAAAGTCCATTAACCACCACTCGAAAGATAGCGGAGTGAAGAGGCTAGGTTTAGAAAGATATAACAGGAGACGCTGCCAGCGCTTAGAGCGCTGCTTAGTTGAGCGAGCCAAGACCCTATAAATAACCCGCACCTCCAAGTCATCGGATTTAGACTAATAACATTATACGTGTTACGCTGGCAATGCCATGTCAGGTGCACCTATCAGAATCGGAACAAACCAATTACCAAATCCACCTATCATCGCCGGCATAACCATAAAAAAGATCATTAAAAAAGCGTGAGCCGAATGAAGCATGGGAAGCAAACAACCAGATATGCTTCCATTCATTAGCATACTAAATTTAATAATACAACTTGCCTGTGGGTGCAACAGGTGGATCATCAACCAAATTTGTAGCTGGAATAGGAATATTTTCTTGACCACCAGTAATGTCCTCACATACCAACCTTAGAAATATGATAGAATTTAATCAATGTATAACCCAATATCAAATGTTTGTTAGTGTTCTACTATTTGATGGTTCAAACATCACATACCCTCGTATTTCTGAGATCGACTGTGGAACACGCCCATAGCTAAATTGGACCTGCCATGGAAGTAAACCTTATCAACTGAAAATGAAAAAAAGAACTCTTCACTGGCTCATCATGTGCCGCTGGTCAAACCAAAAATTGGACATAAGCAAATGTTAAAATCTCCAAGTAAAGTGCAAGTGCACAAGATAGACTACAAAATAAAGGCAGATTGTATTATTGATGAATTATGGACAGAATTTGCGCTTGAAATGAAATGACTTGTGGCATCGAAAAAGAGAAATGATTCGAAACAACCACAGAGACCAACCGCATGATAAGTTGTAAGTTTAAATGATATGAAAACGAGAGCTGCTAAAATGAGGGGCATCTTAAGAAAAATTCGGTGAAAAAAATAATCAATTGAAGACATTTAACCTGGTTAGTGGTCAACAATGGTTGCCCTTCAAGCCGCTTTAGGCGATACTTAAAAACAGTAAATCCAGAAATACCCTTCTCTGCCCAATATTGAACGACCTACAAAAGAAAAGTGCAAACTTGCTAAAGAAAGGTAGTTTTTCATTATATCGACCCAGTACACTAAAGACACAATTTATGTTTCAGATAGTTACCTTGTACAAGCCATCGTAAGTGTAAACTCTACCACAATAACTACTTGAAGAGTCATGGCCACGAACTACTCTAACGGACACATCTTGCTCCACACAATTCTGAAATCGGTTGCACAATACGTAAGACCCACGGGATTCACTTCTTGTTTAGATATTGTCCACAAACCTCTAAGTCAATATACATGTGAAGCACACAACAAACAGAAGAAAGTATGTTTTGATCCCATTTCACACTAGCATCATCTAGATCTTAGATCAATTATACCAAATATCAAAAGAATGGAGATCCGTGCTTGTTTCAAAACCATCGTGAAATCAAAAAACTTATTACACATGTGATTCTTACATTTCAACACAACAATCATCAACGACTATATGTATCAAAGTTTTATGTTTCAGATGAAAAAAGCCTGTACTGTACTGAATAGTCATATTGACATTGGAAACCTTCTCCTAGCTGACTCTTCAAAGAAAAAGAAACAAAATAATACCTAAGCAATCAATTAATATTCCCAAATGCTTATCTAACAAAAGTGCTAACGACTCAGGGGAGAAAAGGCAATAGTGAACAGGAACACAATTTCTCAATGTTCTCGTAGGCAATAGATGAAAGAAGTATTTAGGCTATATGTTTGTCTATTAGACTACTAGTTCCCCAACAATACATGAAAACAGGTATCGACATATAGCTATTAACATATTCCTCACACAAATTAGGTGTCTGATGTGATTAACCCAGAGCACTAACAAAGAAACTAAATAGATCGTTATCAATAACTGTCGTTTCAAGAGGTGAGAGCAAGTTTCCCATAGAAATCCATAAACATGGATAAATACACACCTTGAGTGCCAAGTTTCCACGCTCCATCACTTGATCTCGAATTTGACGTTTATCACCTGTCAAATTATGCCCACCTTGACCAGTATATACAACATCCTCAGCATTATCCAGATCATCTTCATACATTCCAGACAAAACAATAGCCACTGCTAGTGGGAATGTGTATTTACTGTATTCCTGCAATTTCACAAAAGGAGGAAAAACAGAAGTTGGTTTTTTTTTCCCTCTAACAAACCAACGTGAGCCAGCCGGGCATTAACCATATTCAAATACTAATTACATTGAACAGATACTAGATGTAATTAACTCTGAAATAAATCCCTTGAGCAAAGATAATAATAGATTCATTACCCCTTTACTGTAGTTTTGCCCCATGTAATCTATTCCATTCAACCAGTGGCTATGGAAACCAACGACCACCATTTCAGCTCGAGAATAAAACTGATGGCCAACATCAATACCTGCAATGGGCCGACAGCATTTTTAACACCCACCAAGATAGCTTTAAAAGATTTAAGAGGTTTATATCTCATCATTGAATTGTATCGAGTTAGAAAGATAAGAAAAAAAATTTCCCGGCCAAATGCAACAGTAAATAGCAAATCCGCAAAATCAATTTTGGTGAAAGCCACAAACCTGGAATATTGCCAATTCGTTTACTGGAATACAAAGTTTCTTTGTTCTCAGTCATCTGCTACAGAGTTATAATTGGTAGTAAGAAGGCATATAAGGTTCAATGAAACCTCAAAAATTGATAAGGAAAGAGTACAGAATAAGATAAATGACAATATACTGAAAGTACAGAATAAGATAAACGATAAGTATAATAAATTTGACCCGTCAAAAAACTTGCCTTAGTTATTGCCTTCAAATCAGGTCGCTTTGCTGTGCTCTTCGTATCTTCTGTCACAGCTCCTTTCTATACAAATTTGTACATCAGTAAGCATAGAAGAACACCGTTTATAATATAAACATCATGGCAAAATCAATTTATTTCAAGGAAAAAAGAGAGAAAGAGAGTTTGATGGTCAGAATTTAACCTTTGATTTAGATCCTTTAGATTTCTTATCAAGCTGCACTACCACCTTTTTGCACCTTTTCTCCTCTTCCTGCAGGGCAGTGAGTGAAGAGTATATCAAAAATAGCGCACGCGCACACACAAATTACCTAGCATAAGTGTTTGTCGTGTGTAGAAACTTTTTGTTTCCTTGCATGCGTGGCACTAAAATTTCGCTTTTCTTTTTCTAGTGAGGAGTTTCACCATTTGAGGTAGAATTAATGATCTATCTTAGACCAGATATAACTACTTTACTTCAAATTCTTTCCATACAATGAGTCTTCTTCAATGCATGCCGCTCTTCATTTGGTTAAAGTCGCAAAATGTGACTCTACTTAATATAAGATTGCACAAGAACACTTTTGAATCTTGTACTAGAGCTTTAATAGAATTTTATAGACTTCATCCAAATAAATTTTTGTTGATTATTTATTAAAGATTTAACTATAATTTTCGTCCAAAAACGTGTGTCCAAACACTAATAAAAAGCTTTGCTAACTTCTTTCTTCTTCCTCCTGCTTAAAAATTAATATCATAAGCAAAAGTTATACCAAATCGAAATGGGTAAGGAAGGTTGAAGAACGTGGGTTTGTGTCCCAAACACCCGTGACTGAAGATGAGAGTTCACCAACCTGTACGAAATGAAGATAGTGCTTGTTGAACAGCCTGAGAGTGTCCTTGATCTTAGCATGGTCACTTTTCCCCACCGGATTAGTTGCGCTCGGACCACTAACACCATCAATGGGCTTCTTGGATTCCGCTTCCGGAACAAGATCCATGGGTTTCTCTTCCATACCGCCATTATCAGAACCAGAGAAGCTTCTTCTCCTGTTAGAACTAGCAACAGCAGGAGCAGTGGTTCTCTTCTTCGCGGCTCCTCCATTTTTGTCTTCGTCCTCGGCGAGCAACTCAACCCTGCGACGCACCAGAAGCTCCTTCTTGTCCTGAATCCGAGCACTGCTTCTCCTAGGAAAGGACGTCGTCGACGGAGCCGGCGACGGCGACGACGATTTAAGGGTTTTGAGAGCGGAGGCGTCGCCGGAGACGCCGCCGTTGGCATTGGGACCCACGCATTTCGGCGATTGCACAACCATCGATATGGGTCTTCGTCTCTCTCTCTCTCAGAACCTAAACGCTAAACCCAAAAATAAAAACAAGCAACACTGTGTAAATAACAAAAATCGAAGAAAAACACAAAGAAAATTACATTTTGCTCGTAAAAAATTTGGAATCGACATAGAGAGAGGGACAGAGAAACTTAACAGTGTACGGACAATGGAGGGGAGAGAGAGAGAGAGAGAATATTGAAATTCGTGTGGGTGTTTTTGTTGGGTGTGTGGGATTTTATTTATTTTTTTTGTTGTTTATATATATTTCTTTTCAACTTCCCGCCTTGCTTTCGCTTTTCACAATGTCCCTCGCGCTTTCTCATTCCCTTGTTTTGCCTCATCAACCGTCTCAAAATTTGAGATCCACCCCTCCGCATTCCTCGTGACATGTCATCGCGCTATTCATTTTCATTTTCATTTTCAGAGTCCATTTGGCAAAGAAAAATACTAAAGAGTATAATAGAAGGTGGACGCTACTTATGAGTTTTATATTGCGGAATTAACTTTTTATAAGATAATGGTGTTCTATAACATTGTTATTTGGTAACTTATAACATTTTTAATACAGATTATAAATTTAATATTTGAATGTAAAAAACACTTGTTAATGTAATGCTATTTGTTATATTAAATTTCTCATATGTTATATTTTGTGATAAATTTTTCACCGAATATAGCATATTAAAATTTTGACATTTGATTACTATTCGTCGAAATGTTTACATTTTCATGTAATCATTGTAACTTTTACATTTTTTAATTATTTTAAACATAAAAGTTTACTTTTACAATTTTCAAACCTTAATAGATTTAGCATTTCATATAATATTGTGCATTAGAGTCAAAATGAAAATAACATATTATATCACACTTTTTAATGGTAAATATACAATTGGCATTAGCATTTGCATTGGAGATGATCTTATGTTTCATGTGTTTAAACTCATGATTTTGATTATGCTAAAGTGTTTTATTCTCGCAAAAAATTTGAATTTCAAATGTCAAAATCAAAAATCACTGGTTTAAACGCATAAACCAAATGGGCCCTTAAAGACTTGTTTGGAATGTATACTCAAATTATGATTTGGGTTCATTAGCTATAACTGTATAAGATAATAAATTTTGAAATTCAAACTCTCTATGAGATGAAAAACGGAAAATCATGATTTGAGTTTGAATGTAGTTAACCACTAAATATTTTTCTCTCACAAAAACTTGAATTCAAAAATTTTCCATCAATAGTTTTTTAACAAAGTTATCGCCAATAAATTAAAATCACTAATTTAAACGCGTGAACTAAACAGGCCTTAAAAGTTTCACTATTTGAATCATAACTCAATTTTTTTTTTTTTTTGTTATTTGTGTTTTTATAATCCTCTACACCATTTTTAATCTTCATCCCTCTAACTGTTTTCATATTCTTATTTTTCATCCCTGATCCTACAACCAAATGAAACCTTAGGAACCATTTTTGTTAACTCGTCATAGGAACAACTATATTTTATAACTTCCAATCACTCGTCCAATTTAAAGTGAAATGGTACAAAGGTTATCTATAGGTCTCAAAACCAACTGACACTCATGGCTCCACGTTAAGGGATTTGTTTTGTTAATGCGTTCAAGCCATGATCTATTTGTTTCATGCATTTAAATTCATGATTTTAATTTTGTTACAGTGTTTTTCTCTCATAAAAAATTTAAAATTCAAATACCAAAATCAAGAATCACTGGTTTGAACGCATGAACCAAACGACTCCTCAGTGATTTTAATTCATTAATAGAAACTTTGTGAAAGATTTGAAATTCACGTGTTTTTGTGTGAGAAAAATATTGTAGCAAAATCAGAATTATGGGTTTAAATACATTTTCTAAACATGTCATAAATATAATGTCTTTTAATTTATTTTTTTAATAAAATCTTCAAAATAAATACATATACTTTATTTTTTAAGAAATACAAAAACTTATAGTGACTATTAAAGTAAAATGAGTTTTTCTAGTAGGACCGGAAAAAATAAACTATTTGTAGTTCTGTATTTTTTAGTCGTCATATTTGTATTATAAACTTTTTATTATGTATATTTTTTTAAATTTAGTGTGATTTTAACTAGATCTAACAGTCATAGACTAATACTACCGATAAAGAGGCTTAACGTACAAAGTCCCATAAGTAAA